CCAAAGGGATGTTCAAACTTTACCTGTACGATGACCGCTTATCTACCTAACCCTGAATTGTACCCTCATCTTCAAAATCAACAAGAGATCAGGAGACTATGCAGAGCTGTGATTCAAGCTCTCAGAGAGGATCTTTCTGGATGAATATTCTAGAGAGCTTAAGTTCCATCTTCCACACCCAAACACCTTTAACACAATTTAAACTAATTTGGATATAAATGATTCTAACATGAGTTCTAGATGTTATTTACCTCCCTTGGGCTATCAGATATCTCCAGATCGCTGTACTCTCTGGGCTCATGTGTCTGCTTTTTAAGGTTTTCTTACTATTTCTATGAGATTTGACAGACAGAGACTTGCTATTATGCTGATCTCTGCCACCATTTGCACTTTCTAGTTTTCTACTATGAATAGAATCACCACAGTTACTAGAACTGTGTGCCTATGGGTGGACTCGTCTAAGAATATCAAAGATTTGAACAATATTTGGAAAGAAGTGGTAAAGCATCTTTTTTATCACATTGGTTTATGATGACATTTTCTGGCCAATAGAGGTAAGTCGTCTTGAAGAAGGGACGCCTGTTTTCTCATGTGGTACCTGCATGGGCTGATGGTGTCCTCGCCTGGCTCAGATGCATGCCTCTTCTTGGCTGGTCTTTTGTTGCTATTGTTGTTGTTGTTTTGTGTTTTCTTTCCTGCCCAATATCATCCCACTTCCTGCTTTCTGCCATCACATGGTTTCCACCACTCTATTCTCCTGCCTTAGGACATTTGCATGGGCTCTGCCAGGAGCAAGCAACATGATGAGTGTGAGATCCTAAAAACTTAACTCTTGCTTCTTTAGTGCCTTTGCCGTGTTGGTGAGGTTCTTTCTCCTAGCCCCTGCCCTGCTTGGGTTGGCTCAGAACCACATTTCCCCATGAGTATCCTGCTTCAACTTATTCCTAAGCCCTAGAGTTGAACATAGTGAGGTCAGGAACAGAAAATCCAGCCCACTCCCCTGCCCCGCCCCTGCCAGCCAGCATGCCAGGCTGCGCAGCAGCCTTTGCCTGATGCCAACGGTGGTCAACCCTTTGTGCTCAGGACTCATGGCTTGCCATTTTCTTCCCTAGAATCATCTCATAAACTCCCAGGGAGATTATGGCCCAGCCCATCTGCCAAATCCTCTTCTGGAAGCTTTCATCCAACAGATGCAATGAAGTCCTTACCTTAAAACTGCTAGCTTTTGCTTGCTATTCAGAATGTGGGTTTTAAAACCATATAGGTTGAGGCTATCTAGGTGGGAAAGTTAGAGACAAACGTAATGAAAGGGGTAACCCACAGTTGAGGTGAGCAGTTGTGTCTGGATAGAACGTGGGTGGATGTCATTCAGTAAGGGCTCAAGACCTGACGTCTGAGCCTGGAGAATGCTCCACTTCTTAATCGAGGAGGTAGCTTTGTGAGTGCCCTGTTTAATGTCTTTAAATTGTAAATGCAGTGCATTTCACAATAAAAATGAACTTGAAAAATGCACAAGTGGTAACTGCATAATGGCCCAAGGGGCTTTTCTGTGAGTCAAGGATATGAGTTTAATAGAAGGAATTTACGACTGCGGGGCAGAATCATTTTGTTGGTTTTTGTTCACTTCCTAGTGCACAGCTCAGTTCTGGGATAAGCAAGCTTGCTGGATTGTTGAGCTATGGAATATCAACCAATTTTAGAAAATGAGATATGGAGAATATCACTATTTAAAGGAGACTTGTGGTGCCCCAGTCCCTCCGCATGTCAGACTCAGAAGGAGGCTTTTCAATTCAGTTCAAGAACTAGAAATACCCAGTATAGCCTGCTTCTTTGTCACGCTTCTCTAGAGACAGGCAGAGCCTGTGGTGACCCTAGGGCCTAACTTGGGGTGATAGAGTTTAAAATGTGGGACCTGGGTAGAGAACTCTAAGCCCTACCTGCACGTAGAGTGTATGAGAAGAAAAGATCAGTGTGCCACCTTGCACCTGAGGGTGATTTAATGGCTGATGATTGTACATTTCAGACTCCACAAAAAGAAACCTGATCAATAGGGTGGCAGAAAAGTCCTTCTTTGACTGCATATTTTTTTTTTCCTTCAGTACACTAACTACATTTTACTTTCTGGGAGTTGTTTGAACTCTTCCAAGTCACATCTGACTTTACACAAAATCATTCACAAAATTACACAAAATCATTCACAAAAATTACACAAAATCATTCACAAAAATTATACAAAATCATTCACATACGTGTTTACATTAAATCAGAGAGAGAGAGACAGAGACAGAGAGAGAGAGAGAGAGAGAGAGAGAACAGATGAAAAGATAGATTGGTTGCTCTCCATGAATCTATAGATAACTACATGAATTTACAGAACCTAACACAAGGATCAATTTATATTACCTGACAGATTGAGACTGTATCACTCAGATGTCTGCAACTTGTTCCACCCCCTGTGTCCCCTAGTCTCTGGCATTCACAGACTTGGGGTTTGTGATTCTTTAAAAGAGCTTCTAATATAACGAAGCAATGTAGAAAGAAATGACAATTTTAGGACATTTTCTGCTCACAATTTTTTATACCCAAATAGAATAGATGATGTTTGAAATAAAAGTTTGGAAAAATTTTTCTGTACGACTCAGCAATGCCAACTTTACACCAAATGAACAAGTCTCCTCTCCAAATGACAATTGCTAATAACAACTCCTATTTTCTAGTACTTTCTATGTACCCAACATTGGGGCCCAGTAGGCACTTTGCCTCCATTTTGTTTATTTGTGTGTAAGAACATAGAAATCTGGGCTCACCCCCCGGTAAATAAGGAAATTGACTCACCTGTGCTGGATCCCACATCCAGGAAGGTGCTTTGGGGGCCCTCTCTCCGAAAGTCTTGGCTTCACCCTCTGTGCAGTACAGCTCAGCTCTCACTGACTGGAACACCAGAGACTCCGGGACACAGGAGCAGGAACAGGTTGGAGACATCCGAGAAATTGTTGAGAGAGGGAGATTGGTGTTATTATTGCCGTCAGGTAGTCATGAGTTCAATCCCTTTTTGTGCATAAGACAATTTAAAAAATATAGCGAGAGAATTGCAAAATCTTTTATTATTCCAGTGGTTCCAACACACAGCAAGGTTAGGACACGTTCCCACTGGCAGCAAGTAGCTCTCTTCCCAGGTAGGGACATTCCCCTTGGGTGGTATCGGCACGAGAACTCATTGCCTTATTTAAAACAAGTAACTCTTTAAAAATTTATAGAATATTCTGAAAGAAAGGAAGTTAAAAAAAAAATCAGAGTACAAAATGGGTGGTGAAAAGAAAGTCTCTCTTCCACTCCCAGTCTCTAGGGCTGCGTTATCCTCTCCTGCGTCAAAACCATTTCCCACATCTTCTGGGAGGTATTCTGAGTATAAACAGCATTTACTGGGCATATTAGTCTGTTTTGTGTTGCTTTAAAGGAAGATCTGAGGCTGGGTAACTTATAAAGAAAAGAAGATTATTTGGTTCATGGTTCTGCTTGGGGCTGGCATCTGTTAGGCTTCTGGTGAGGCCTCAGGAAGCTCTTAGTCATGGCAGAAGGCAAGGGGAACAGGCATGTCACACAGTGAGAGCCGAAGCAAGGGAGAGGAGATGCCAGGCTCTTCAAAACAACCAGCTCCCGTATGCACTCAGAGAGAACTCATTCATCGCCATGGGAACAGCACCAAGTCACTCATGAAGGATCCACTTCCGTGACGCCTCCCACTGGGTCCCACCTCCAACACTGGAGACCACATTTCAACACGAGATTTGAAGGGGACAAACATCTCAATTAAATACCTGGGGAAGCAGGGTTGACACACTGTCCTGCCTTTTGCTTTGTTCACTAAAAAAAAAAAAAAAAAAATGTCTCTTCCAGATTATTCCACATCTACACTAGGGCATCTGCCTTATTCTTATTGGCTGCTGCAGAGCACGGAAATACCATAATTTATTTAACTCATCCTCTATTTGATGGACATAAGGTGATCTCCAGGCTTTTGATGTTACAGTGTGGTAACAAGAGACACATTGAACACGTCTCTAAATCCTCTGCTTTATTAGAACTATGAATCATGACCTAATAAATTGCTTCCTATCTCTGCATTTGCTGCAGTACATAACTCAGCATTGATGCTTCTGCAATCATAATAGTCACTAACATTTATTAAAAGCTGACTGTGGGCCGGGAGCAGTGGCTCACGCCTGCAACCTCAGCTACTTGGGAGGCTGAGGCAGAAGGATCACATGAACCCAGGAGGTCGAGTCTGTGGTGAACCGTGATTGTGCCAAAGCATTCCAGCCTGGGTGATAGAGTGAGACCCTGACTCAAAAAAAAAAAAAAAACCAAACATTTACTGTGTATCAGGTTCTAGGCCAAATACTTTGCATGGATTGTTATTTTATTATATCATCTCCATTTTAATATTTGATGGTTATATAAATAAGTATAATATGTAAAATATAAAAATATATTGTTATATACATATGTAAATTTATTACAGAAAATGTACTATGATAAATTAAATTAATAATATGTAATATGATTAGTTCATTATATGATTACCTTACCTCGATTTTACAGATGAGGCTGGTTAGTTTCGATGTAGTAGAGGTAGGATTTGAACTCAGGTACTCTGGTCCCAAAATCAGGGCGCTAAATTGCTCAGTCTGTTGTTCACTGTAGAGAATGTAAATGAGTTCCTGAGGCCACCACTGGGCCTCTTTAGAGCCACAGACATGATAACGTTGTACACAAAGGGAGCTCCTGACTGAACTTCAGGAAAAGTCTTAACAGAAATGATGATCGCATGTTGCAAGTTTCCAAAGCCCGTGACCCCTGGGCACCGATTCCCTGAGGTATCCTGTGGCCATGCTGCAGTCCATCTGCCTGTCCCCAGAAAAGCACCACGTGCAGTAGAAGTCAGTATGTTAGATTAGATTCATCAGATATTTTGAGCACAACTCTCATTTTATTTTTAGTAGACACAAAAGTATTTCCTGGAAGCATCAAGAAGCAAGAAGGAGAAGCACGCATGACTTTGTCTGTTCCCCCAGTGGAACAGAAGCTCATTAAACATTTCCTTCCTGATGGGGCTAGTTCTCCAAGTGATGCCTGTCAGTCTAGTGACCTATCTGAGCCCACAGAGAGACGACATCAAAGCTTCTCGAAACCCAGAGTCCCTTTTCCTGGGTTTTTTTGCCCCTTAAAAGATGCATGCACATCTCTGCAGGAAGACAATGGTACTCAGATAGAAAAAGAGTACCCCAAAGGTAAGGAGCAGGGGTATGGACTAAGATAATTCTGTCTTGCTATTCCTATGGAAAGTGATATGGTATCTTCCTGGGCCTGGTTCATACAAGCTCATCTGCCCCTTCTCTGACTGGGAGAACACAGAAGAGACAGGACCAGCAGGTTTAAATGATGGGCAAGTAATACCACCCAAGCATCCAGGAGGCAGCCCTATGTGGTTCAGGGATTCTCAGTCCTACTGTGTGCAAAGCTAGTACTACCTGAGACCAATCAAGGTCGCCAACCCTCACACACTGCAGGTACCCAGGCTTAATGAAGAGAGGGCTGACATGCAGGCATGGCGGGTGTCCCAGGCTGACCGAGGCCCCCATGACTGACCAGCAGGGGTCATGGCGGAGGGGTGAGTCTCCCACATGTGTCCCCCTCTTAACAAGCGTGGACCCAAGAGATAGGTTTGAAACTCAGCCCCTCACAGAGGAGGAAGCCAAGAATTAGAACACAGTCATCATTTCTCCAGAGGCCAAGCTGCTGACCACTATCAAACAGTGCAATGAACAATGATATAGAAAAGAACACAAGAATAAAATAGAAAAACGATCTATGGTAAGAGGTCACCAGTATGTCAGCGGAAAAATTTAGATTTCCCGTTGCTTTTAAGGCTTTCTCAAAGAACTATGAGTACAGGACAGAACAAAAGATACCAGATTGGGCTGTAAAAGCTAAATGGGTTATGGTAATTGATAAAAAAAATTTCATTGGGAACCCACGTTAATCCCTAGCTCTTCATTCATTCATCCTTTAATGAAGCACTTATTAAACACCTACTGTATGCCAGTTGCTGTGCTCAGGACCCCGGCCCTCTAGGCTTTCACTCGGTGTGGAAGGTAGTCTTCAGCATAGCTGTGTGTGTGTGGTGCACTATGAGGAACCCCTGACACTCCTAGGAGAAATTAAATAACTTTGAGCAGGAACTTGAAAGTATATTAGAGGTTTAAAAGTCAGATCCAAGAACAAAGAACATGACAGGCTGAGGAATAGGCACACACACACACACACACACACACACACACACACACACACACACACACACAAGCAAAGAGCTGATGGAAAGAATGTGGCTGATTTAGGGAGCTGTAGAGGGTCTGGGGGCCAGGGCATGGGGGTGAGGGGGCAGCTGGCGTGAGTCTGCAGGGGTCACGTGGGTCAGGTTGAAGGCCTTCCCAAATCCACTGAGGAAGTTTGGACTAAAGACAGAGCCAAGCCTTTGAAGGGGAAGAGACATAATTAGATTTGCTTGAGAGGAAACTACTGTCTCGTGCACAATGTGGGAGACAGATGGAAGAGGAGAGAGGCTGGGGACAGCGGCCCAGCCAGCGAGGACAGCAGCCCTGTCACCGTGCAGGAGGGCCACAGTCACAGTGGTTGTCGGGATTTCGTGGTCGAGTCTTTGTCTGAGCAGTGAAGGAATGGGATGGCTAGGGCTGGCCCTTGGGTTTCTGGTTCTGGTGCTGAGGAGGGTGGTGGAGAAGGAGGCAAAGGAAGTGTGGCTTTCCTGGATATGGAACAGGCTAGAAAAATGTTCACGGGAAGAAAAGGAACAGTGTGGTGGAAAGTGGGATTAACTCCGCAGGAGGGGGTTTGGGAGCTAGTGGTTGGGCCTAGGCTAGCCCAGGCTAATAGTTAGGCATGAAGGGAAGGGCGGTCACAGAGAAATCCTTCAGAAGGAACAAGAACAAATACTTCGACAAGTGAAAAGGCTTGACTTGAGACCGCCCAAGTGTGGTATTGCTAGAGGCTCAGAAGTGACATCTACCATGAACAGGCCGTGAACAGTCCAGTTGGCCTGGGCTTGTAGGTGGTAGGGACCGTGGGTGGATTTTGAGTGGAGGTAGGATTCTTGGTGCAGGCCAGGAAGGACCTAGGTGTGAATAATAACAGTGATAGTAGGGGTTTAGATCATAGCGATGGTTCCCTGGTCAGGTAAGCCTCCAGACAGCCACCTGCTGGAGACCGCTCCCAGCAGAACTACCTTCTTTGGGGCACCTAGGCCTGCATGGGTGGAGAGATACAGGGTGGACTTGACAGGTCCAGGCCTCGAGGGCGTCACAGGCTTGTGACACCATCTGCCAACCGCACCTGGTAACAGATGCTGGTAAGTGGGTAAAGTGTGTTCCCCTGGGTTGACACAGCAGGGATGGGTCCTGCCATAGGAAATGGAGAGAGGTTTTTGGAAGATTTGGATTCAGCCTGGAGGTATTGTAGCGGGAAGACAGAGAGGCCGTGACACTGAGGCTATTAGAGGAAGTGGCAATTTTATTATATAAGACTCACCGAGCTAATGCTCTAAGGCTGAGCACCCCAGGGAGAGAGGAGAGGGGTCTTATACCTAAGTTTAGATAAGGGAGGGGGTCGTGTTGAGTGATTACACATTTTCTTTGGAATTCACAAGGTTGTACTCAGCAAAATCAGATTTTCAAAGAACAAATGGTCTCCAGGAAATGCAGAGGGGCTGTACACCGATAATTTCAAAAAGAGGATTTGGGTAAGTTTGTGAAGTTTGTGAAGTGGTCACTCTTCTGCATTTCCATGCAAGCCTTCAGTCTTTGGCTATTTGGTTTTCTCTCTTTTTTTTTTTTTTTTTTTTGAGTTGGAGTCTCACTCTGTCCGTGGAGTGCAGTGGCCACTCCAGGCCACCGCAACCTCACTTGCTGGGCTCCAGTGATCCTTCCGCCTCAGCCTTCCAACAAAACCTGTCTGGCGGGTTTTCAGAGCTTGCCGATTGACTTTCAAAAGGAATACTTTCAACGGCTCTCAGCCCCCTTTCTGCCATGGTATGAGGTCACCAGATGGAGCAATCCAAGGGGTTATATGGAGATAAGAGAACACATGGGGTGAGGAGTGAGGGTATTCTGCTGAGTTTCAGGACTAGAGTGGTCTGGGGGGCTGTGGGTGGAGCAAGCAGTGGGTCAGACAGGGAGGGTGGCTAAGGATAGCCTGAAGGACATTGTGTTCCAGACTGAGACATTGGCTAGTAAGTGGCCAGGGACTGTCCATTAATGCTTTCCCACTGCCCCAGAAGTTACTTTGCCTGAGGTGTTGTTGAATTCATTCATTTCTTGCTCTCTTCCATAAAGGAGAGTCAAAATGGCCCCGGGGAAGAGGTTGAAACCAGCTCTGAGAATCTTTTCAATTACTTATGCAAAACCAGTGGTCCTCTCTAGCAAATGAATGCGCGGGATAAATAATTGAATACCCAACCCTCCGTCCTGATATCATTATTTGACAAACCCTAGATGGATGAATTCACTGTCCCCAAACAACCAAACTGTGGTTAATTGTACAGGACACACTTCATAGGAAGCACTGAGTAGAAGGTTTCTTTTCATTTTAAGCAAAGGCGAATTCTAGCCATCGGCAGCCCAGGGAAGGTCTCCGTGGCATAATTAGCTGGTCGTGAAGTCGGGCTGGATGTGGATGTTCCTCCTTGTGACCAGGGCGGCCGGGAGGCTTTGTGATGAGGCATGATCTTGTCGGCTTAACGAGGTCCATTAATAACCCACTGGCATTTCTATTTTGAAAATTGTCTTCTGTGTCTAATGGTATTGAGGGGCCAGGTGAAAATCACTCAGTGCCCTCTAAATGGGATTCTAAATCTTCTCTCCTAGGAGATTACACCTGCTGTGACTTGGTGGTAAAAATAAAGGAGTGTCAGAAGAGTGAGGATTGTGCAACGTCCGAGCCCTCTCCTCCGTCCCCCTCGCCAGTCCCACCCAAGGGACCAGAGAGCCCCGGCCTGTCTGAAGACTGTTCTGAGCCTCAGCCAACGCCCGCAAGCTCCTTGACCTTGCAAGTAAGGCCTTCTCTGGGTCCTGGCTTGGTTTCCGCCAAGGGGAGATCTTTCCTGGGGAATCATGGGTGCACGACCTCACCTAACTCCCTTTCATGGGTGGCTGTGTGACTCAGACAGGTCCCCTAGGCTCTCTGGGTCCTGGTTTCACTGAATCGTGGAAATAATGAAGGTCACTTCATAGGCATCAGTTCCTCCAGTCCTCCCAAGACACCTTGGAGGCAGGAGCTCCTGTAGATCCCATCTTCAGATAAGGACGTTGAGCCTTCGAAAGATTAAAGAAGTTTCCTAAAGTCATGCATACATGAATGAGTGTTACGAAAGTTTTTGTTTAGTGTCTTTTCCCAATTGTGGATATAATATACACATATATATTTTTTTTTTCTTTTTTTCTTTTTTTTTATTATAAAGATGTGAGGTACAATTCAGGGTTAGGTATACAAACATTGATTATATAGGTACCCTTGTTAATGAGGTACGCCCTTCCCTTCCCTGACAGTTTCCCACTACTGCCAATTGCTTTCTTATAGTATTATAATTGTTCAAGGTCTGCTTATGAGTGAGCACATGGGGTACTCTGTTCTTTGTTTCTGTGATAGATCACTGAGTCTGATCAACTCTAAATCTGTCCAAGTTGCTGCAAAGTGGATATGTTTGTCCTTTTTTATGGCTGCCTAATATTCCATTGTGTATATGTACCACATTTTTCTAATCCAGTCCAGCTTCGAGGGGCAGCATGGTTGGTTCCCTGTTTTTGCTGCAACAAACATACGTGTGCAGGTTAAAGTACAAAAAAATACAAAGATTTGAAAACTAGGAGGGCAAACAACCTCTGAGAAAAGTCCTGCTAATAACTTGCTATAGAGCTAGCCACACCTTCGAGGAAGACACTTTCTACTGTTGCAAACCTCCCTGTGGTTGTGGTGATGGCTCCACTGACCGACTCCTGTACCCTCGGGACCTCAGTGGGCCCTGGGTGAGACATTCATGGTGCCCCAAAGCAATCCAAGTCTCCAAGGCTGACCCTGAGTGGGTGCATCAGAAGCAGCAGCCATATCTGGGCCAACAGGCCATTCCCAGGGTTCACCTCTCCAGGCCTGGAATTTTCCTAAACCTTCTACATACCCAGTGACTTGTGCCTTGGGGGACGCTGTGGAGAGAGCCAGCTGGGAAGACTCCTTTCTGGCCAGCTGCCAGGGACGCATACATGACAGTCTGAGCCCATGTTGCCTCCCCCTGGGAACCCTGAGCTCCCAGAGGGCTGGAAAAGGATGGGACAGAGAAGCATATTACCCACAGCACCCTAACCAGTGAGCTTTGGTTGAGCACCTACTATATGCAGGGTACCTACTATGTGAGTGATGCATTGTCAGTGAGACGGCCCACGCCTTCCTAGGGCTCACAGCCTAGCGTGACATGCAGATGACTGTTAATTGAGGGCATCAGCGAAGTACCTGGACCCTGGAGGTGAACGGGGCTTCCTTGGGGAGATGGAACTTGAGCCAATGGGTGTGGCTGTGGGTGGCCCTCCAGGCAGGGGACAACTTGACCAGAGACATTTAAGGAAGAGAGAGTTCAGACAATGAAAGACAGTGCAACCGGGCTCGGTGGCTCAGCCTGTAATCCTGCGCTTTGGGAGGCCAAGGTGAGTGGATTGCCTGAACCCGCAGGTTCGAGACCCACCTGGGCAACTTGGCGAGACCTCATCTCTATAACAAATCAAAAAAAAAAATTAACCGGGCGTGGTAGCGCGCGCCTGTAGTTCCAGCGTCTTGGAAGGCTGAGGCGGAAGGATCGCGGGAGCCCAGTAGGTCGAGGCTGCGGTGGCCGGGAGCGGCCACTGCACTCTGGTCTGGGCGACAGAGTGAGACTCCAACTCAAAAAAATAAAAAAGAAAGAAAGAAAGGCAGTGCAAGAAAAGCATGGGACTCCCACAGTGGGGTCACCCTGTGATCCGCCAAATTCCCATGAGCCTCGGTATTGCATCCCTCAAACAGAAAGAGGTTTACCTGTCTTCCCACATTGAGGTGAGACTCCAAGAGCTGAAGAACGCACACGGAGCACCTGGCCCTGGGTCTGGCCCGTGGCAGACGGCAGTTAGTCTTTTTCAGGAGATCTGCATGGGTGGCTTAGTGCCTGGATGTGAGGGAAAAGAGGCTGAAGTAGAGACATGGACACTTCTGACCTGTTTTGTGTCACCTGCAGATCCATTCTGGGTAGGCAGACATGTCCTCTCAATTCTTTCTACCCAGGAGCAGAAGCCATTTCCTTTCTCCCTGGGTTTCCCCCTGCAAAGGCATGTTTTCCACACAAGGTGGACAGAAGCAAGTGCCTCATGACATTCTTATTCCTTTCCCACCCAGGCCTCTTTGGAATATGAAATGCAGGTCTCTCGGAGTTTGGTCTTTTGGAAACGAATGATTTGACAGGGTAGACGGGGAAGCAGGTAGTGTTGCCTCTGCACTCTCGGTCTCCACGATAGTAGCTAGTCGATCCGGTGTAGCAAGTCCCGTGGCACTGCCGAGACTGGCCACCAGGACCTGTGTCGTTGGCATGTCTGTTACCTTCTTTGTACAAGGTGGTGGAAGAAAATTGTGAGCGTTTGCCCCATGGCTTTCGATCTCTCGTTGTTGTGTTTTGTGTTGGCCTCTTGGCCAAATCAGATCAACGGTTGGGTTGCCTTTCTGTGTCCTTTCTCTTAAAAATCAAATCTTCTCTTGGCTCCGATTAGGAAGCGCTGGAAGTGCGTAAGCCTCAGTTCATTTCTCGCTCGCAAGAACGACTGAAAAAGCTAGAACACATGGTCCAGCAGAGAAAGTCCCAGCGGAAGGAGGACCTGAGGCAGAAGCAGAATCTCCAACCCATCCGCACCAACAAGAAGCAGTTCACCGTTCCCCACCCTCTTAGTGGTAAGTTGCAGGTGGCATGGGGGGATTGGAGAAATCCTGGGGAGGGGGGATCCTGGGGACTAAAGCCTTGACCTTGGCGGTGGTGATGGCTGCAAACGATACCGCTGACATACGCAGAACCTGTGATGGCTTCAAGTGGCGACCCTCCGTGTCATAAAGCCTGTTCTGGGAGCCAGCCCGTTTTGAGAGATTACACATGGGCATTGAACTCAGCAGAAACAGCTCGAGACACAAATTTACCATCACGCCTGAGAAAGAAGCCGCACCACTGTAGCAGCCAGGGTAGCAAGTTCAAATTCTTGGCTCCTAACAGATATTTGCAAGAGATCCCCTTTGCCCTTTATGGATTGCAAAACAGATCCCAGGGTGAGAGGTTGACTCCAGCTTGTCTATATCAACATTTGTCATCTTGAAACCCCTTTCCTGCTGTGAGCTCAGAGAACGAACAGCCAGCTTCCCAGCACTGTGAGGCCAGTGTCGCACTGACCCAGTGAGGGGGGGCATTCATTCGCTCATTGGAGATGGAGTTATCAGGAACCTTCTCTGGAGGCCATGCTGGAAGCAAGACTGACCTCAGCCTTCTCTTCGCGGAGCTTATAAACAGACTATTAAACTAATCAGAATAACAACAAGAGATGAGGGCAGGAATGGGGGGACATCAGATCACATACTTATGGCCGGCCAACCCAAATCTTAAAATCCGGAGGCCTGGGGAAACCTCAGTTTTATTCTTCTGGATAGAGGAGTGAGATCTCTCTTCCTAGGAAAATGTTTTGACCCCTAGGAGATGAAATCAGGAGTATGACTCTGGATAAAAGTCTTCTGAGGAAATAACCCTATTCAATAAAGTACAGCTTAGCAAACATTACTAAGATTTTTTTTTTTTTTTTTTGAGTTGGAGTCTCACTCTGTTGCCCAGACTGGAGTGCAGTGGCCGCTCCAGGCCACCGCAACCTCGACCTGCTGGGCTCCGGCGATCCTTCCGCCTCAGCCTTCCGAGTCCCTGGAACCACAGGCATGCACTACCACGCCCGGCTCATTTTTGATTTATTGTAGAGATGAGGTCTCGCCAAGTTGCCCAGGCGGGTCTCGAACCCGCGGGCTCAGGCAATCCACTCACCTCAGCCTCCCAAAGCGCAGGATTACAGGCTGAGCCACCGAGCCCGGCTACTAAGATCTTATAAGGGGGACCTGGGGGACAGAGGGAAAAGAGTGTTGTAACAGCATTCCTGTTAACCTTCCCAACCCACGAGCAGGCTAGGCTTCGTTCCGCCCACCCAGAGCAATGCTGGTAGAGTTGTCTAAAGACTTGGGGGAAGGGTGAACTTTAATGCATCCTTTTTGTGTTGAAGGATTTGGCAAGACACCTGCTGCTCTTTCCAGCACGTAATAAATAGAAGTCACCAAATGGATGTGCAAAGAGATCTTGGAAAAATGTGTCTCTCACTGGCATTTCAAGCTGGTTGGCAGGTGCAGACTCGATGTGGGTGTGTTTTCAAGAGACTCTTTCGCCTCTGGCCCAACAGAGAGGGAGCTCAGGCATCGACATCTCAAGTTCCTGTGAGGACCAAATGCCAGCCACCACCAGGAGTATCCTGGGGGTCTTTCATGCCTATCCTTGTCCTGGGTGGGTCTGGGTGGTGGTGCTCAGGCTGTGTGGTCCATCAGCCTCCGTCGTTCTGAAGATGCCACTTAATAAAATGGTTCGGCTACCAGCTCTGTTCTCAACAAGTAGAGAATGATGCCACTTTAGGGCTCAAGATATTCGCATGTGCACACAAAGTGGCATTTGAGGGGCAGCTTCTCTTTTAGCCAGGTCCTTTCGCTTTGTGTGAGAAGAAATGGAGAAGCAGAGATATTAGAGAACTCATTCGGTGTGTTGCTGCTGGCTTCCTCCTCTCCTGGGCCAGCGTCTCCAGGCTGTGCTATGTGGCTGGCCACAAACAACCTGGAATACCGTCATCACAAATATCAGAGGTGATGTGGCCTTGGCCGTCCGTGTGGGTTTCCTAGAGCTACTGCAAGAAATTACCATAAATAAGGTGACTTAAAATAACAGAAACCTATTTTCTCCAAGTTCCAGAGGCCAGAAGTCAAAATCAAGCTTGCTTCTGGAGGCTCGGAAGGAAAACCTGTGTTTGCTTCTCTTCCAGCTCCTGGCTTCTGACAGTCTTTGGTGTCCTTGGCTTGTAGACGCAGCACTGCAATTTCAAGCCTCTGTCTCCACGTACCTGTGTCTCTGAGTTCAAATGACCTCTTCTCATTAAAATACATAAAACAAAGCCGGGCTCGGTGGCTCAGCCTGTCATCCCGCGCCTTTGGGAGGCTGAGGTGAGTGGATTGCCTGAGCTCGCGGGTTCAAGACCCGCCTGGGCAGCGAGACCTCATCTCTACAATAAATCAAAAAATCAGCCGGGCATGGTAGTGCATGCCTGTAATTCTGGCTACTCGGAAGGCTGAGGCGGAAGGATCGCCGGAACCCAGCAGGTCGAGGCTGTGGTGGCCGGGAGCGGCCACTGCACTCCAGTCTGGGCGACAGAGTGAGACTCCAACTCAAAAAAAAACAACCAAAAAAAAAAAACCTAAAACATAGAAAAACCAAACAAAAAAACTAGTCACTGGCTTAGGGTCGACCCTAATCCAGTATGACTTTATTTTAACTTGATTATACCTGCAAAGGCTCTCTTTCCAAATAAAGTCATATTCACAGTTAATGGTGGGTTAGAACTTAAACATTTCATTCTAAAGGAGACACAGTTCGACTCACTATGTCATCCAAAGCAAATACCCTTAGAAGTTTATATTCCTTTAAGTGAAAATCTTAAAATTGTATATAATAAAAGGTGATCGGGCCCAGTCTCTAGTTTTGAATACCGAGGCATCATTTTTCTCCCCGAATTCCAAGACAGTCCTGACGATGGGCATACTCTCGGTGTGACTCGGCCAGCATGAATTTTGCAGCCATCTTGACTGTCCTTGCAGTATTTATGTGTTGATGAGAGCTTTACTTCTGTGTTTGTTTGTGCTAGGTCAGTAAAATCAGACAACCTCTGAAACCAGAACCTCGTGTGAGCTCAGGCAAGTGAGAGGGAACGCTTAAGGCCCCATTAAACAAGTCTAGAGTACACATCTTGTCTTCAGCCTGTCTGCTGGCAAGATGATAAAAGCAGAATGCAGATGTTTTTCTTACATGCTAAATTAGTTAATAAATCATATGCGTGAATGAGTTCTGGCTATAGTGTCAAGGCGTCTGGTTAAAAGATTCGTGTTTGCTTTTGGTGCTGGGGTAGCTGCCTCTGATAGGTGCTCGTGGGACAGTCTTGACCCAGAAACAGACCTGTAAGGTTCAGGTGGGAGCTCTGGCAGCTGACAATACTGGAGAAGCCGGTTCCTGGACTTGTGGGCATGATAAAGGCGAGGACCATGACGCCAACTATTCATGTAAGTTAGTGACTTCTTCTGAGTAGCCTTGAGACTTGGGGCAGAGTGAGGCATGTGTGTGCACGTATTAACGTGTGCACATGTGTGTGAGTATTCATTAGGAATAGGACTCCTTGAATGGAGGCGGAAGAATTTTCATGGACAGCTGGGGACTCCAGAGGGACCAGGAAGCAGCACTGTCAAGGCCTTGGCTACTGTCCCCAGCCAGTCCTTACTATCTTGTCACCTGTAGTTTGAACTCCCAGAACCAATAAACAATGCACGAATCTCTTTTCTCGCCCGAGAGCCACCTGGGCCCCCTTCACGTGGCTTTAGCAGTGACAGAAGGAACTACTTCATCCATCTCTTCATCCAACCTTGTTTGAGAACCCACTCTGTGCTAGGTACAGTCCCTGGTCTCATCTTGTGGGAAAGCGGGGACAAGGGAGTGACTGCAGGATTTGCTTAGTGCCATGGAAGGGGTTTCCCCAGGTTGCCATGGAAACCCATAGGCAGTCGACTGGCTCTCACCCTGGGGATGCGGAGGAGACCTGTGAATTGCATTAGGATGAGCACAAAATGAGGGTACGCTGATATTCACGGGACAGGGTGGGTGACGAGGAGGAAACGCAGGGGTGAGAGGTCACCGGGACATGCAGTTCAGCTATGACTGGACCATAAATAATGAGTGATGGAACAGGGCAGGGAGGCAGAGGGACCAGAGAGGAGCCCAGGGGATGGTGACCTGTAGGTGCTGCTACTGAGTGGAATCTTCTTCTGAGGTCAAAAGCTGAGATGGGGAGCTGCGTAGTGTAGCTCCGGGCAAGTTACAATAAAGGTGGGGCTCGGGGAGGGCAGTGAGTGCAGAAAGGTGATGGACGTGAGACATTCTCAGTGGAAGAGGAGGTTCTCGGTGGAAGGTGGTGATTACTGAGTTGTGGAAAAGAGAAACTGAGACCCAGGAAAGTGAAGGGAAAATGGTAGGAGGCCTGGGTTTTGCTTTCAGTCTCTGACATGACGAGCACTCCAACCTGAGGTCCTCTCTCCTTCTCAAATTGGAGCTCTATCATTTGGTTCACCAGAGTTGCCTGGGAGCTTTAAGCAAGGCTTCCCCATCATTGCTATGCAGCTCCTGGGGTCCCAGGTGAATGGGGTTATGTTCTAAGTGGATCTTAATATTCTTAGCACACACACACACACACACACAACAGGCATACAAGGTGATGGATATGTTAATTATCTTCATGAAATCATTTCACAATATATACATGCATAAATCCCATCTCATATACCACAAATATATGCAATTTTTTTTTTTTTTTTGAGTTGGAGTCTCACTCTGTCGCCCAGACTGGAGTGCAGGGGCCGCTCCCGGCCACCGCAGCCTCGACCTGCTGGTTTCCGGCGATCCTTCCCCCTCAGCCTTCCAAGGAGCTGGAACTACAGGCGCGCACTACCACGCCCGGCTAATTTTTTGATTTATTGTAGAGATGAGGTCTCACCAAGTTGCCCAGGCGGGTCTCGAACCCGCAGGCTCAGGCAATCCACTCACCTCAGCCTCCCAAGGTGCGGGATTACAG